CGGGGCATAGAGGACCTACAATAATGTACAGTATTTGAAAAATAATGTGTTTTTTGAACATTAAAGCATGTCAACATATTCTGTTACACCAAATACACAAAATAATGATCTTTAAAAAAGCATCATATGACCCCTTTAAGACCCCTTCACTGGTGTGCACACGCACGCCCCACCCTCCCTGCTGCTGAATCACATGAAAACAAACCCGGTTATTGAGAGGTGCTTGGGCATCTTTGATTAGACCGGGTGACTCAGCAGGAATGGAAGAGGAAGAGGAGGAGAGAGTGGAATTTTATACAGCTGCTGAAAGAAGAGAGGGAACGGGGTCTCACCTCGTGGTCCGGGATCTCAGAAGACAGAGTCTGTCCCAGGACGGTCCCCGTTAGATAGGTCCAGCAGCGGGCAGTATTGGCAAGGTTATAGCCGCCTGAGAAGGACAGAGAGAGGCAGATTTGTATACGCAGAGAACGAAAAAGAGAGCGAAGGGGGATTGAAGTCAGCAAAAGGGCTTCATTGTACTAGTGTAATTACTACCTTTCATCTAGAGCTTGGCTAGGCAGGTCTGCAGCTTAGAGCTCATTTCAAAATGGGCTAAAATCACAAAAGTTCACTTTCTTCTCTCAGCCCAACCCCCCCTGGCCGTAACAACACACTAATAAACTTTTTGGCCGAGTCGGAGAGTTGGCAACAAGGACAGAAGATGTAGTTGTCAGTGTTAAGGCATGGAGGGAGAACAAACTGAGGCATGACTGCTGAAGCCGTCTATCGATTTATGTTTTTTAAATGATTTTTTCACCCAAAATGAAAATTCTGTCATCATTTACTCACACGCACGTCGTACAAAACCCATAACATCTTCAAAACACAAATGAAGATACATTTAATAATCTCTTGTAATTTTTGACAATCCATGCAACCAACATTTGCACAAAAGGACATTGTAAACATACTCCATGGGAATGCATGAATAAAAGAAGAAATTAAATCCGTTCATCATAAAAACCAAACCACCAAAAAAACATTTTTTTGGATGGACAAAAATGAATCTTCATTTGTGTTAAGAAGATGAATGAAAGTCTTAAGGGTTTGGAACGACATGAGGGTGAGTAAATGATGACAGAATTGTCATTTTTGGGAGCATAATATAATTCAACAAAAACAATGACACAAACCTCCACCTAGAAGCAGAGTGGGTAACTCCCAGTCCAGTATATAGTTCAGACATTTTCCGACTCCAACCGGAGTCATATTGAAGGAGCACATGGGGTCACCCGCCATGGTGTCCGCTCCAAGTTGCATCACAATTGCTTCAGGGTTAAACAGAGCTTTGACTTCCTGCATCACACTGAGAGAAAACCCCAAAAAATGAAATAATGTCTATGTTTAAATGACACTGTACCATGGGGACAAACAAAACATTGCAAGGAACTTAGATTGCTTGGTTACTGGATCTTTACAGACCTAGTGAAGGTCTGGCAGTACCGATCATCACGGATGCCATCCTCGAGGGGGACGTTAACAGCGTACCAGCGTCCTTTACCCAGCCCAGTGTCAGTCACATCACCTGTGCCTGTCAAAGAAATTATAATGAGACGTTAATGTTGGTCTCTTTGAAGGTCATTCATATGACTGATAGAACTTATGTCAGGGCCAGTATGAATGATCTAAATTAAGCTTTATTGAGCACTGATGTTGCTATTTATAGAATCGTTTATAGAAGTGTGGGTCATTAAGATTTTTTAAAATTAATTAATCATTCATTTGATCAAAAATGACAGAAAAGACAGAAATTATATTTCAAATAAATGGTGTTCTTTTGATGTATCACCGTTTCCACAAAAAAATAAATAAATTGCGCAGTTTTCAACTGTTTTCAACACTGATAATAGTAAGAAATGTCAGAATGATATCATCATATCAGATATGGAAGCCTGGAGTAATGATGCTGAAAATTCAGCTTTGCCATCACAGGAATAAATTGCATTTTATATAATAACATTATTTCACAATAGTATTGTTTTTACTGTATTTTTTGATCAAACATTAAAAATACTTCACCAACCCCTAACTTTTGAATGGTATTGTCTTTTCTTAGATGAAGCTGTTGCAGTGAGATTACATACTCAAAAAAAAATATTTTTGCAGCTTGCTTATTTGCCTAACTATAATTATTAAACAATTTTAAACCTAATTTCGTAATGTGAAGTCAATAAAAATGTAAACAGATGTTTACTTAAATTTAACTACATGAACAAAATTTAATTGCCGTTACCGTACCACTGCTGAAACTGTGCAGGGGATTTCCAGTTCCCAGCATGCTATGCATGGAAATGGACTGGGAGAGAAATGTTGAAATGAAGTGTTATGTTTCTGAAGATGAAAAATTGGGGGAACTTGCTAGTGTTTAATGTTCTGTTATATTTGGATTTAGAAGCGTTTCTGTTATGTTGGACTTTCAGGCATTACCTGCAGTGAAGAGCGGGCTAATATAAAGTCTACTTTACTCAAAGAGCAATTACTGTGCAGATGCAAGTGCAGTTGATCAGTTTCTTCCGCTTCTGGCCAAAACCACACAGTACGGTAGAAAAAAAGTTGCATTCAGTATGTGCACTATTGCTAGCTAGTAAAGAGATTCAGTTGGGTTATTTTGACAGTCCATTTTTTTTTGCGTTTTACTCAATTCAGTCAGGTTTCCGCTACAAGCATCTGAATCATAATTTTATTTTAATGTTAAGAAAATCTATTCCAAGAGTGTCCACATATGAATTAATATGAATTCTGAATGTGTCATTTGTGAAGATCACTTGGCAACTGTGTTGCAAAAACAACCCAATAATAAATCATTAAGTAAATAATAATTAAATCGTAGAACATCTTGCATTTGCCCAGTTACCTTTCCAAGCGCTATTGTTAAGCTACTGAAGGGGCTCTCAGAGTCTCCAAGAAGCCACAGAGCTCCAGTCTCCTTTATCAGCTGGGTAATCAGACTCTGGGCGCTGGAGTGGAGCCTGCAGCTCCAACTCTGGCATGGCTTGAAACATGACTGTCAATTAAGGGAATTAAAAGACGTGCTGGTCTTCACTGAGGCGTAGAGGCATGCCGAACTAACCTGGGAAAAAGCCAGGGGAGAACTTGTGCAGAGACACTGTCATGACTTTAGAGGTGAAGCTGAAAGCGTCCTCCACACCTGGAGAGGAAACAATGCAGAAGTCCACTTAAAGGGAAGGATATTAAATTAGGTCAGAGTAAAAGCTTAGAGGAAGTGCCCTTTTTCACTGATGGATTTGTGTTCTAATTGAGAAATAACCTGAACTGATAACAGATGAACACAAACAAGGAATATGAGCTACTACTTTCTAAACATCTGAGTCTAACAAATAAAGATTCTACAACAGAAAAAAATTACCTGGCATATTTTTTTAACCTGCATTTTTTAACCTTAACACACAGTGATAAGGGTCTGAAGTGGTCCTTTCTATAGCCGGGTTTCCATCCAAAGTTGCGAATTTAACTTATGCGCAAAACTGGAATATTGCATAAAACATTTGCGAACAAGCATCGTTTCCATCCAACAAGTCAAAGAGAACAAAATTGTCACTTCCTGATAAACTGGCACTATAAATCACTAAGAAAATTAGGAGAATATAATAATTTTCATATATAATAAATTACTTGCACCTCAGAGCGAGCAGACGAAACACAATGAATGCAGTCATTGCTTTCGGAGGTGGATGCTGCTGTTTGGAAACGCAGTCGTGTAAGACATTTCTGGGAGGCAATTATACAGAAAAACTTTGATGACAGACTTTGCTCGTGCATTTCCGAATGACCATAATAACATTTCAGATGCTGTGAAATGATTCCGTGGACAAGGTTTTGCCATCCCATAGCGCAAAGTCACATTACTTTTTTGATGCGCTTGGAGGAATTTATTCGCAAAATGCATTTCCATCTCCCATTATTCGCACAAGTCAAAAACCACCTCAAGCGAGCGTAAAAACGTTTTTTCGAATTAAGGGATTTTTATTTTAAATTTGGCATTTCCATCACTCGTTTCTCATGCGATACTTCAAAATGAACATTAAAATATGGAAACATAGCTTATGATATAATTTCCTGTTGTATTCTTTTCCACATGTTGTTTGCATGCACCACATGACTTTAATCTGGTGGACCAAGGTGTTTAAAACATTTATAAGCATTTTTGTTCAAATAATTTTTCTCTAAGAAATAAAAAATTAAATATTATGCAAAACTACCTAATGAGATTTCTTTTCAAGAACTTTTAAAAAGACTTTTGTTTGTCATTATGATATCAGGGTGGTTGTACCAACCTGACATTTTTGTTTTACTTTATGTGTCCCTCCCCAAAAAAAACTCAAAATGACGTTATTTTGGAAATGTAAAAAAGAAAGAAAAAAAAGGTGCATTAAAACTATTGTATGCATGAACTGCATGTGTTTTTATGTGTTTTTAAATAAATGCAATTTAAAGTTTCTAATGAAATTGAGTGTCATGTCACTGACCCATCTAACATTTGCTCTTGGTGTTAATGTGCGTTTGGAAATCAGGTAGAATTTTAAAGCCAATTTGTGGACTATTTGTGGAAAAGAAGGATGCTAAATGCTATTAACAACAACAGGCTGTTATGGTTATTGTTATGGAAGTGTTATTACCATCTCCATGGTGAAGGTCCACATCCACATAGAGAACTCTCTCATACTTCTCGCGCAGTTTGAGGATTCCAAGAACAGCGTCATTCACATAACAGAACCCAGAAGCCTCGTCCCTTATATAACAACAAATATTCAATCCGCTGCTCCAGTGACCCACTGAACAATGTCCGACACATACATAAACATTCATCTACAATAAACATACTTTATGAAAACTCAGCTTGTTTAACAGGCTTCTGCAAACAAATTGTAACATCAAAATTTGAACTTGGTATAAACCATAAACCATGCAGATCTTCTTAGTACTTATGCTAAAGATGCCACTGGCATCTCAATGATTGATGTGGACGTGAAACACAAGAGGGTGGGGACAAGGCCTGTTGTGCCGTATTACTTCTTGGCGTGATGCCACCCTCCGGCCCAGTTGATGGCCACATCACTCTTTCCATCAAGGAGATTCTGGGCAGCAGTCAGAGTGGCTCCTCCAACGGCAGCCGCGTAATCAAAAATACCCTCCACCACCGGACAGTCATAACCTGAAAAAAAGAGTGACAAGTGGGGGGTTTGATAACACAGGGGGACAATGGGATGGGGTGTAGAGAGGAAATTGAGAGGGAAGATATGGAGAGGGAGAGTGAGAAAGAACAATAAACACTGAGCTACATTAAAAAGATTATTTTGGTCAGTGCCGATAGCCTCGTGGGCAGTGTGCCAACATATAGCGCCGTTGCACTTCGGGTGTCCTGAGATCGAGTCCCGGCTCGTGGACCTTTTCCAACCCCCCACCCCTCCCCACTCCTCTCTCTCTCTCCCACTTTGCTACCTGTCAACCAACTTTCCTATCATAATAAAGGCAAAAAACAACAAAAATAAAATCTTAAAAATCATTGTTTCCCTCTCAAAAACAATAACACTACTCTCTATCCCTGGAGATTAGTACGAAGTGTCAGTTTGTCAGGCATTTAAATTACACATGGCCGTGATCCAGTACAAAAATGAAACGCTGATTGTAATAACTGGAAAGTCAGAGAAAGATTAAAGTATAATACTGCCCTCTGCTGTAAGCAAGAGGGAACTGCCTGCACTGCATGCAACACAAGGGACACTATACGCTTGGCTGACACACTACAGGTACATCTCAAAAAATTTGAATATCATGAAAAAGGTCAATATTTTTTGTCACTCATTTCAGACAGTGAAACCCATATATTATATAGATTCATTACACATAGAGTGAAATATCTCAAGCCTTTATTTCTTGAAATGTTGATGATTATGTCTTACAGATAATGAAAACCCAAAAATTCAGTGTCTCAGAAAATTAGAATATTACATAAGATCAATAAAAAAAATGATATTTTAAACAGAAACGTCAGGCTTCTGAAAAGTATGTTCATTTCTATGCACTCAATACTTTGTATATGGCCAAAAGTGTATATGGACACCTAATTCTAATTCAAAGGGTTTTAAACAGGGCTCTGGGGACCAGCAGGGGGACGAATGGGGGAGCTAGGTGGTCTGTGAATATTTTTTAAGGGCTGCCATATTTAACATGTTAACTTACGATATAAATTAAATCATTTTACATCAATTAAATGCTTTCTGAAAATATAAATTTAAATGCGATTGTCTATTAAATGCTAGTTTTTAACAGGAAGAAATACAAAAAACAAATAGGAACAACAGTGAGATGTACAGTAGGTGCACCCCTACATATTTTTGCTGGTACTTTTGTTGTAATGATGACAAAACTGCTTGCTTTCAAACATCTTATTTAACAGAGCAACTAGGATATTGACAGATATTAAAATAGGAGTGTTAAAAGAATAAAATATTTATTTGGATTTACATAAATTCTATTTAATTTTTATTTGTCCCCTCAAGAACTAAATAAATAAATATTTTATTATTTTAACACTCCTATTTTAATATCTGTAAATATCCTAGTTGCTCTGTTAATAAGATGTTTGAAAGCAAGCAGTTTTGTCATCATTACAACTATATTAAACAAAACATCGCTAATGCTCGTGTCAGAAGAGGAGCAAGTTCCTGCAACCAGAATCAACATCTTCCCAGAGGAATGGAAGCTGCTGGAAAAGGAAGTCCTTATTTATACTCATGATTACTGTACAAACTTTTGGCCATGTACTAGTACAGTAATCACGGGCCTAATCATCTGAATTCAGGTATATTAAACACAAGTCTCACCTAGTCCAAAGTCAACAGACTGAGGATCATCATTGTCCCCGTCCTGGCTGATCTTGTGCAGGTGCTGTAGATAAGAGTCTGTGTGAAACACGGCCATCTCCTCTATTGAAGCCACATGAGGCTTCACCACCCTTAACACACGCACACAACAGTTTCAACAACATACACATCAGTTAACATTATTTACATACTAGAAACTACATATTTAAACACTGAGAAATTGTCTATTAGACATAATCTTGACACACCTCATGTATTTTAATAAGCCATACGCCTCAATCAATGAATGCACCATACTCGCCTGTGAGAGAAAGAGAGAAGTGAAGAACACCAACCATATAACGTTACTCATTTAACTTTTTACACTTTATGCATTCAAACAATTACAGTAATACTGTGTAGTACCCCGGTACTGTGATGGTTTCAGAAAATACGTTCAGGTGTGTTTTCATATATTCCATGTTAGTTACTGAATAACACATTCATATCGATTGGCATTTGAATACTTCAAAAGAATCCCACGGTAATTTACTATGGTAGATGTCCATAACACAGTACGTTACTTTTCCATTAGTACCAAGCCAGCTAGAGCAAACGCGATTCCCTCTCACGTTCATGTCTCTATTATAATATTCACTATAAATCCCACTATGCGTGTTGTGTTTGGGAGTGTGTGAAGTAACGTGCAGCTCATCTCACCCGGTTTGGCACTTTAGACAGCGAGTCGCATATCTGGATGTACTCCGGACTGTAAACATACACCACGCTACGATTTCTGCTTTTATCATAATTACTCTCGCTTTTATCACTCATTTAAAATCAAACTATTAAAATCAAAGCACCTCATAAATCGATAGAGCCTTTCGGTGCACTCCGGCCGAACGTTACAGCAACAAACGTCCGTTATTTCAAAATAAAAGTCCGGACATTGAACCAAGAATAACTTCTCTCAAGACACTGTAATGATGGTTGTCAAGATAATGTGGTGTTTTGGCTTCTCCTTTCTGACGGGAAACAGCAAAAACTCACAAATGTCTGGGTAATTCAATAAATAAAATACTTTATTTCAATTTTTATTATTTTAAATTTAAGTTGTAATTTATTACATTCTAAGCAAAATAAATAAAAGTTACTATCTCATAAAGGCTTCTTCAAGTACATGCAAGTTACAAGCCATATCTACTACTGGCTTGAAACAGAGCTGTAAAGACCACAAATGCAAGTCTAAAACACAACGAATGTTATGAAACGTATAAGTGGTCACCTCTCCATTAGTTGTAGATTATAAACAACGATACAGTACACTAAGCAGTACAGTTCTTTTATGTTGGCAAACAAAAACAAAAAAGAACAAAACGGAGTTTCATGCTTAATAGATCTTAGTCAGGATGGACACTATATCGAATTTTACGCACATGAAAACAAGGACATACTTAGTTTGACAAGCACTGTATAACGGTTCTAACGATCACATTTTAACCTTGTTGTTAAACAACAGTGCAATACATTGAACACACTGTATTTCCATTCCTCACAGCCTCATTTTCACTCCTGTCAAAAATTAATTATGGAGCTACACTGACTAAGGTCTATGGAAAACCTATATTAGGACTACTGAATGACAACATCAAACTGAACTACCAAAGCATTTGTTCGACAACAAGTTTATTCACTCTTGTTCAAAACAGTTGCAGATTTTGCTTTCACACTCAAACTCACACAAACACCTAAATAACTGCTCTAAAATAGTGGTCTCGTCCTCTGTACAATAAAAACTATACTACTTAAAAACTTCATGGTATCACTGTACAGTACAGGCGCCACTAGGCAGGAAGTCCTGGACGTAGGTAGCCACAGCTTTAGAGAGGTAAGTCATGGTGCCAAAGCGACCGCTGGGTGCAGTATCATATAGGAGCCGGCAGATTCCCATAGAGAGATCCTTTTCTAAAATACTGTCCTCTGCACCAAGATCCTTCTGCAGCAGCGAGAGAAAGGAAATTACTTAACATTTGATGATAATATATACAAAGTGAAATCATGTTATTTGAAACATTTCACAGTTAAATACCCATACCTGGTCCTTGAAGAACATGTCATTGGCAATGTGAACAATCTTCTCTATGTGGATGATGCTGCCAACGCTTTGAATGTCCACATCAGCCAGCATTGTAAGTACCAGGATCCCTTCGACCAGCAGCTGCCTATATTCAGGCTGAGGCACACGG